GCCACTAATTCAGAGCCGTAAAACCCGTTTCGCTAATGCTCCGGCTTCCTTAAGACTTTAACGGAGTTGTCTCGCTATTCTCTGCCGCCAAGACAAACGATTGTGGAGGGTGCATCGTCCAAGAGAGTAGGCAGTTCCGGTCAAGCTCGCTTCCTGCCGGTCGCGTCGGCCTCGGGTCGGAAGTTCCTCGGAACCTCGACTCCATTCGGCTTTAAATTTACCGTTCCTTGTTGCTGTAACAACAATAAGCCAAGATTCCAAGTAAGATTTCGGTCCTCAAGAATTTCTGACCTTGTCCGAATTTTCGTTGCGGTTGTAAAATGTCCTCTTTTCTCGCTTTTTATATTATCGTCATTTTCATTTTAAGAGATTAGGATCGTTAACTCTAAGATTACCAAAAGAATTATACAAATATTCTCGTCCATTCAATAAAGAGATTTATGTCTACAATTCTGCAATGCAAGGATATCAAGATCAATTTATTTGCGAATGCCCTGGTATTGTTTAATTGAAATCGTTAAACTTGTATGGTATTAGTATAATTAAAGGATAAAAACCACGGAAAATCTTTGGTCCGAAAACAACTTCCAATATAAATCAATGAGAAATAAATGAGCTAAATGTATAAAAGTTTTATAACGTAATTAAATACTTAATATTTGCTTGTATTTCAGCTTTCATAATTTGTTTGCAATACGAGTTTTAATTAAAAATTGCAGAAATTAAAAGATAAATCGATACTCCGAAAATAAACAACTTTTGTAATGCAATGATATAAAAGCTCGAAATTTAATGTTTTAATATATAATATATATTATATATTTATATTAAATTATTTAAATTATAAATATATGTAATTCCGCGTTATTTGTTTAAAAATAAATAAATAATTTTTTTTGCATCTTGGAGACTTGCTCGAGAAAGTCACAAGAACGACGAAAACGACGTTTCCGCATCTCGCGCAGATCTCCATCGAGATGCTCTCGCGTGAGAAAGTCTCAATCTAATAAATTCATGAAGGAACGTCGTACTGTTTCTGGTCGCCCGCGTTCTCACAAGCCTTCGAGAATATCGAGGCGCGATTCCTACGGTTTCCGTGTGATCTGTCGACCGCAAATAGCGAAACGGTAACGGCGACGATCCGGCGGCGGCTTTGCGTCCCCAACAGGATCAGGCGAGACAGACGAATTGACGTGAGATACACGTGGTCGTTCTTGAATTGAACGAATATCGAGTGAAAATTGATTTTATGTAAGTAAGATGAAGAAATTACTGGGGTGCCCTTCGTCAATCAGAAATGCAATTCTGAACGAAATTGCGATACTAAATAGAGTCACATCTTATTGTTAGCGCGCATTCGCTGAAAAGGGAGACGCGTACTCTTTCTACGAAGATCACTGTGTGCTATCTATATTAATTTAATTTAGTACATTTCGACACGCGTGTAAAATATCCTTTTTATTTTAACTTTCACGTCTTATTAAATGAATATTATCTGCATCGCACATAAGTAATTTTTATCATTTTTATAGATAAGAATTTTATCGTATGATGACATCCCAGCTAGTAAGTGCACGTAATTTTCACGTTAAATGACGTACATTTGGACGTCAAATGACGTTATTTTGACGTCAAATGACGTGCATTTGCTACCTGTAACATTCCTTCTGCGCGATTTTACGTGCAAATATGTGAACCGATAAGTAACAGCTGATTCATTGACGAGAGACGCGTGTGTGAACATCGCCTAATACACACGCGGCTCGCTGTAAACGTGAATGAAATCGCGCGTGGCTCATCCTACGTGGTGGTGGGAGTCGACGTGCGCGTGTGGGTGGTAGCACGCGATTCGGATCGGTGTGCGTGGCGGCGTACGCGTGTGTAGGGTAGAAATGTGGACGCGACGGCAGGGAAAACGCGTGCACCGCGTTAGAGAGTCGGCGTAGGCGGAGTCCGTAACATCGTCTTCTTCGGGCTCGCACATGCGCCTTATTAAATGTGCCTCCCACAACGAGAGAACGCAACGAAAGGAGAATTCGTCGCGCGTCGCGATACCCGTCGTTTATCGCGTGGCTTTTTTTTATCTCTGCGCCTTTTAACTCGTAATTTTTCTCAACGAGTAGCGTGTGAGTGGAAGTCGGTCGTTGCCGATCGTCGACGATCCGTGACGATCTAACGCCCTACAAACAAATTTATCTCTTCTTTTGCTAACGTTACGAGTACCGTCCTTTTTTAACGGGACTCGACGAGTCTCGCTGTTAAAAGCGTAAAATCGTTGCGAGCGCGGATAATAATCGCAGATAAATGCATCATCGTACAGTTTAAGGCTACTCGAGCATGCACGGACGTGCGTGCCTAAGACGATGATCTCTAAAGAGCGTCTATATCTCTTTATTTTTTTTTTTTTTTTTACCACTTGGTTTTTGGTTTCGCTCTGGGGGGACAAATCGCCCGGTTTTCGTCTCGATCGGGATCGCGAACGAATAAACTCGTTTGCATGATCCGGTCCACTTCAGCGATAGATCGATCGTGCCGCGATGACACCGCAAACTATTGAAGATTGTCCCTCGATGATGAATCAATTTCGAGGAAATCGCGAACAGATCGTGCTAGAATTATATCGTCTAAATACAATTTATAGACATCCTTAATAAATGTATTTTTTGTATAAAGTATTCACTACTTTGTTTTGCAAAATGGCAAATGTATATATGTATATCTTAGATATTATAAATAAAAAACTATTTATATAAATATATTGTATTATATTAGCTATGAGAAAAAAAAAGAGAGAGACTGAAAG